TTATAACATTGCATTATAGATTTATATTATGATTACTTAATCAATTATAACATTCCATTATAAGTATTAGTATATTAATTAAAGGATTAGAAATTTAATTAATTACAATATTAAATTATAGATTTATAGTATGATTACTTAATCAATTATAAGATTCCACTATAAACATTAGTACATTGATTAAATGATTAGAAATTTAATTAATTATAATATTAAATTATAGATTTATAGTATGATTACTTAATTCATTATAACATTACATTATAGTATGATCACATAATTAATTATAACATTACATAATTAAATGATTAGAATTTTAATTGATTATAATATTACGTTATAAATTTATAGTATGATTACTTAATTAATTATAATATTCTATTATAAACATTAGTACAATACTTAATTAAATGATTAGAAATTTAATTAATTATAATATTACATTATAGTTAAATAGTATATTACTTAATTAATTATGACATTATATTATAAACATTAAACATTAGTAATTAATTAAATGATTAGAAATTTAATTGATTATAACATTACATTATTGATAAATAATTACTTAATTAATTATAACATTATAATTTACATTATAGTATGATCACTTAATTATGTATAACATTGCACAGTTAAATGATTACTTAATTAATTGTAAATTTATAACATTACATTATAAAAATTATTAATTTACTACATTAGTTATTAGTACATTACTTAATTAAATGGTTAAAAAATCTAATTAATTGTAACATTACATTATAAATTTATAGTATGATTACTTAATTAATTATAACATTACATTATAAACATTAGTACAATATTTAATTAAATAATTAGAAATTTAATTAATTATAACATTATATTATAAATGTATAGTATGATTACTTAATTAATTATAACATTACATTATAATTAAATAATTACTTAATTAATTATAACATTACTATATTACATTATAAACATTAATAATTTATAACATTAAATTTACTACATTAGTATTTAGTAGTGGGAGAATCAAAGAAGTTAGTGACAGTTTCTAACTTTCTATATTGTTGTTTGTTTGAAAGATTTTGGTGAAGTTATTTGATGTGAATTGTGATGAATAATTGTTTGTGTTTTGGTTTTAATTGAGGAATTTTATGTGAATTGTGATGAATTGATTGAATTCAAGTGTTGCCTTGAGATTAGAGGATTTATGAGTTACATTGGACACAAATGAATGAGTAATCAAAATTTGTTAGGGGTTTATTTGTAAACTTTTAAGGTATTTTTGTCATTTTTTAAACTAATAGGGGGTAATTGATTTTTTACAGGATACCCGGAAAAGGAACCGGAACCTGCATTTTAGGTTCCGGTTCCTTGAATTTAAGAACCTGCACTATGAGATTCTGGTTCCTTTTTTTGGGAACCTGCACTATGCAGTTTCGGTTCCGGTTCCGGTTCCTCTGAAAAATGCAAGGTACTCGGAACCATTCACCCCTAATTTTCTCTATCACTCTAGTCTATTATTTTTATACCCTTAGGGTGTATTTGGTTGGAGGTAATCGGGGATTACTTAGGTAATGTCATCTTATATTACTTGATTATCACGTTTGATTGTTAAGTAATATAAGATTCCGATAATCTTTCAAAACCAATAATAGTTATTGTTGGTAATATAAGAGGTAATCTGATTACCTCTATTTTCTTAGGTATTTTAAGATTACTTGATAATCTTATTTTTGTTACAATTTTACCCCTTATTAATAAATATTAGGACAGTAATGCCCTTGTTTTAAAAACAATTTACAAAAATACTATTGAACTATTTTATCCTTATATACAAAGTTTTTAGCATATAAATACCCCTAGAATTTAAAAAAATTACTCAAGGGTGGTGGCAAGATCTGGCCACCACTACTGGTGGTGACAGAATGGCGCACGACCGACCGGATCTAGCCGGCCGTGTGCCGCTAAGGTTGTTTTCGGCCATGTGATCCATGGCTAGAAACAGCCAAATCTAGCCGTTTCATAGCCAAAGATGTAGATGTGAAACAGCCACAGATCTGGCCGTGAAACAGCCGTCGTTTTACAACCAAATACCTGGCCTTTTCAAGACCAGATCTCCACTATCGCTGGCGTTGGCGGTGGTGGCAGGCAGCCGACAGTGGCTTGGGGCGGGTGGGGGTGTTTTTGTAAAGTTTTAAACATTTTTTTTGTTGTTGGGGTGTTTTAGCTAAATATGAAATATAGGGGGTTAAAAGAATTATTCAAGAAATAATAATAAAAAAAATTATATTAATATTTAAAAAGGAGGGCAATTTAGTAATTTATATAACATACCCATCAATTTATTCTAATCAACGAAACACATTTCTCTAAATATTCACAGTAATCTTCAAGGTAATCTATCTTTCCATTAATATAACATTCCCAATAATACAACATTCTCTGAACCAAACACACCTTTTAAAAAAAAATTTGTTGATAGACTCCTTGATAGTTGAGAGATTCCATGTTATGAGCAAAAATTGTTAGGAAACGATCATCTATGGCAGCGGAAAACAAAATAATTTACATGATAGATCGTTCCTTAGAACCAAGATGAGGGCAAAAAAATTACAGTTTATACATAATAGTAGAATCTGCAGAAAAATCAGTTTAAAGTTTAAGAAATCATACGCACGTTTGGAGGCTCCTCCAAGTTTATCTCTGAACGGAATTCGCTACCGACCCAAGTGTAGGATCGAACCAATGTAGTCCACACGAAGATAACTCTAACGAACTAAAGAGGGATTTGTTATTAAAATTTTTGGACAACAATGCCCTTAATTCGAAAACAATTTACAATTATATTTATAGACTATTTTATCCTTATATACAAAATTTTTAGGACACAAATAACTTAGGACTTTAAAAAAATTACCCAAGAGTAATGGCCAAATCTGGCCACCCTCGCCAACCGATGCTGGAAAGGCGCACGACTGGTCGCATCTGGTCGATCGTGTGTCAATATGGTCGTTTTCGACAAGATATCTGGCCAAAAATGACCATATCGCTGTAGATTTGGCCAAAACGGCTAGATCTATTCTAGCCGTTTCCGACCAGATCTACAGTTTCTAGTTGTTAACGGCCAGACGGTCAGATAGATCTTGCCGTTAACAACGACTAGAACTTTTACTGTTAACGACGGCCAGTTCTAGCCATAGATGGATCTGGTCGTAAATGGCCAGATCGGCACATGACCAGCCATATCCAATGGTCGTGCACCATTATGGCCACTGCCGACGCCATCAATAGCGATGACAGGCGGTTGATAGTGGCTTGGTGTGGGTGAGGGTATTTTAGTTAAGTTTTAAACCTTTTTTTGTTGTTAAGGTATTTTAACTAAATCTGAAATGTAAGGGGTTAAAAGTAATAATAATAAAAATAATATTATATTAATATTTACAAATGAAGACAATTTAATAAATTATATAACATACCTACCAATTTATTCCTCCTAACCAAACATATTAATATAACATACTCACCAATTTATTCCAACCAACCTAACACATTTTCCTGAATATTCTTAATAATCTTCAAGATAATCTATCTTTCTATTAATATAACATTCCTAATAATACAACATTCTCTGAACTAAACACACCCTTAGAGACAAATTAAATTAATCCGGTATTTTATCTTATATTTCAACTCAAAATTCTTTGTTATAGTTAGTTTACACATAACATTAAACGTGCGTTTGATTCAGGAAATATTGAAGTACTAGAATCCTATATTATCTTGAAGATTACTGAGAATCTTTAAAAAAATGTGTTTGATTAGTTGGAATAAATTGGTAGGTATATCATATTAATATATTTGGTTAGGAGAAATAAATTGGTGGGTATGTTATTTAAATTACTAAATTGTCCTCTTTTTAAATATTAATATAATATTATTTTTATTATTAATTTTTAAATAATTTTTGTAACCCTCAATATTTCAAATTTAGCTAAAACACCCATGCTTATATAAAACTTTAATATATAACAAACTCAACCCCACCACTCTGTTGCCACCACTGCAAACCACCATCGGAAGTCGTCGTGAGCAACCCACCATGACTGGGAGGCCCTAATATGATCATTTTTGGCCATATCGGGAGCAAATATGGCCAGAAATGGCCAGATTGATAGATCTAGCCGTTAACGGCTAGACCCTTGGCCTTTATTGGTCAGATCTAGGCGAGATCTAGCCGTTAACGGATACAAATCTGGCCGTTAACGGCCATATCTATACCGATCGGAATAAATCTGACCGATAAAGGCCAAGGGTCTAGCCGCATCAATTTGGTTGAAAATGGCCAAAATAGATCCGACCATTTCCGGCCAGATCTGCTCTCAATATGGCCAGAAATGGCCATATCGAGGCCTCCCAGTCATGGTGGACTGCTCACGGCGACTCCAAATGACTTCCGAAGACTTCCCAATCACGATGGTTTGGCTGGCGACAGGCAATAGCAGATGGGTAAGGATGATGGCTTGGGTAAACTGAAATTTGTTTTGATTTCAAGGGTAATTTTGTCCAAAAAGTTAATTAATTAGGGTGAAATGGTAAAAGCAAAATTCATGCAAATAAATTTAAAAATAAATACATTATTGTCTTAAAATTTTATTAATAAGAGATAGAATTGTAACAAAAAAAGATTACCCAAGTAATCTTACGATACCTAAGAAAAGGTTATTTAATTTATCTAGATCGCTTAATATAAAATAATTCTGCTGTTCTTGAAAAATATTATATATTCTATACTTATCAAAAGTTCTTTTAAAACTATCAAAAACTTTCTCTAAGAGCATTGTATCAGCTTTCTTACAAAATTAGATAGTTTATGCGATACATTAGATGTAATTATCTCTTCCTAAAACGATGTATTTGTCTATTTCGGAAACCTCAAGACAGAATTTCACTTAACCCATACCTCATTGATAGAAGAGTAGGCAACCCAGTCAAACGGAAATAAGAACTACTAAACTTTCAAAATGAATGCATACAAAATAAACATCACCAATACACAAAAGGGCAAAAATCCATAAACATGGGATATTAGAAGATAAAGTATGTAACTATTTGGTATAATTTACCAGTAATAAGAAGATATAAACACAGTTAAGCAATTTCATCAAGTAGATGCACTGAAACCACAAAAACTACAACTTTGTCTTAAGAATCTATAGAGACTAAACACTATGGTAACTAGACACTATAGCTGTAACTTCCAAATCAAAGAACTTGCTTTTCAAATCCATGTACTTATTTTTACTTTCTTCTCAAAACCCCATCAGGAATAAGAGAGCAGTGAACAATTTGTAACAGCAAATGGAGGGAGAGAAGTTAGGCAAAAAAATCATGCCGAAGTGAAGTTTGAACCTGAGACATCGAACGTGATTTTGGAAGTCACTAGGGTTACAACCCCAACTGCGGTCTTTTTGCAGGGCCATGATGCTGATTGTGGTGGGGGTCTTGAATGGTTGAGTTGTATATGTCAGGCACGAATGCTGTGGTATCATATAGATTCGGCGAACTTTTTGGCCAATAGAGCCCCGAGGCTGTAGGAGGGGAAGGAATTTGTGGCACTGCCCAGGAGCTCTCCGGCCCCTGACCCAAGCACTCATCATTGTCTAGCTCTTCCTCAGCAGATCTTAAGACTGGGGAGCTGTCAGAGTCTCCACGCTTGCCAGTATCAGTCTGGAAATACCCAACACAAAAGAACCAAAATTGTCAGCTGTATCAACTTTAGATGTTGGAAGACAGTGTCAATATACTAGGTACTTAAGGAATAAATTACCATAATTAAAACAGTTGAATGGTTAGGTCAATTTACTTCCTTTCCAGGTCAAATACCAGGAACCAAGGACACTTCAAAGTTGCAAAAGGACAGATGGTCAAGGACAAGGCATGGAGATATGCCTGCACATGTACCATAAAGGATGCCTAGATCCACTTCAAATCTATAATGGATTTATTATCAACATTTACATGATTTGGAAATAGGATGATGCAGAGGAGAAGTCAAGACAATTGGCCTATATATATAATAATGTTTACACGTGTGTGCATGCATCTGATCAATGAGAAAAAACTTAAGAAAACACAGGACAATGCTATTTGACACAGAAGTAATTCATCATTTGTGTATCATGTATATGTCCTGTGTTTTATATCTGGCATGGCCAAATCATGACAGTGATGAGTTCAATTGCCATCTCCATGCATCAGAGGCGGACACCTTCCTTCTCATTTATGACTTATAAATTTGTGTCACACAGGCTATCGAACGTCAATTGATACATGTGAGCACCAGAACCACAGAAAACAACATAAACCTATGAGAAGTAGAGCAACTAAAGCCTTGATTGTTTCTTTAAGTTAATAAAAAATAAAAATAACACCAGAAAGACTTTTTTCCCGACAGGATAAAAAGGAGTCTCTATTCCAATTTTGAAGATCACCTTTAACCTTCAAATGAAAACAGATCCAACCAGACACTAGGTATCACTACAAAAACTACAGAGCAGATTAAATTGTTGCTGTTTCAAGAGTTTGCTTCGCAATTTAAGTCGTTATCAACCAGATATATTACTACAAAGTTGTTGCTACAATGCCATTGGCAGACCTAGATGCTACCTACAATATTGACTATCACAATGCAAAATCTCCATCACCGGCAACACAAAAACTGATGTCACCACCAGGCCATGTAGCCAACTAAGTCCTCCCAGAACTTCTTCCCTTCTACAAGTCATGACCTAACCATGCAGCATTTGTGCGAGAGAGATTGTGATATGTATCTGAGTCAACACTACTCTGTGATATCAATGTCAGCATTAGGGATACCTTTTGACAAATATCCTAGTGCAAACTACTTTTGTCATTCATGAAGCAACAAACCTATTAATATAACAAGTTGACCTCCACACTAGTGCCAAATGATATATTACTAATATAAAGAAATGGCACATACCTTAGATGATCCATTATCCATGTAACCGTAATTTTGATTGAATTCAGGAAGTCCAAAAAATTCATCCATTTGCCACGGTGGTATGCTTCCAGCTGCAGAGCCCCCAGCAAACGATACTCTTGTTGTCACACAATCCCCCATTCCACCAGCATTTGCAGGTAAAACCTCTTTGTATTCACCAGCTAATGGCATCAGGGAGCTCCTTCTAGACTCACAGTGGGATTTTGTTTCTGAATTTTTCTCCCCCGAAGTTGACTTCACTGTAGAAGACAAGGCGCCAAGGTCAGCTGCTTCAAGACCTACTTTCACGCCGGTAAGCAAAAATCTCTGATGAGCAGACACAAAGGTATTTGCAGTGTGTATGGCAACATCACATTTCCTGCAAAGTAAAGCCCGATCTTGTAGACAAAAGAAAAAGCCAGCTGTTTCCTGCAAGGATTCTCAAAGTTAATCAAAATGAAAAATACACCTATTTGAAAAATCAAAACCAACAAAGTTAATTAAACCATATATTCACTCCATATACACACCTCTACATGTCTTTGGAAGTTACAACAAAATAAAGTCATGGTCTGCCAACATTCAAGTCCCTTCTCAATTTATTTTTAGACGGTTAAACTTAACTAACTTAAAATGCAAACCTTGTTATCCATTTTGTCCATTGTCTCAATTTTAATACTTGAAGGTAACTTCTTCTCTCTCTTTTTCAAATTTAAATCATGTTCTTGGGCCAAGAACAATAAAATTGGATTACTTGCCAGGATGCCAATGTCATTATTATTATTTTTTTTCTCTCCAGCGAGAAACAAAGAAAAAGATGCTAACTAACAACAGAGACATCAAAGAGTAATTACAATCACACACTCACTTCCGCACAAAATACACATTTTTAAGAATTTTCACAATATTAGTGCAAAACATCCACAATCAATGAAAGCCTTCCATCGAAACAAGTTGTAGCTAACACACTTCAAGCTACAAATAGAGATCTTTAAGAATTGTAGGAAGCAAATCAATGTATATTCCCCAATCAACCTTACTGTTGAGCTTCTAAAATTGAATCCCACTTGTACGCCCGTCAAAACCCAAAAAACCTCATCATATGATTAATTAAACCAATCAAATCCCAAAAAATCCAGTCACAAGAGATACAAAACATAATCCGCAGAACAAAAATTATCCACCCCAATTCATCGATACAACCAAAGCATATAACAGAAACACAAATAAAACCCTCAATTCAACTCCGCTCACACCATATAACAAAATTGGCCTTCCAAACAACATATTCCCAACTTTTTATCACTTCAAAAATTTCTCAGCAACTAAACAAACATGTGAGCATAAGCCACAAGATCAATAATCAAACCAAAATCAAATTTATTTAAAAAACAAAAAAACACCTGACAAATGTCGCACTTGGGCATTTGAGTAGAAGAAGAAGAAGAAAGTGGGACCCTCTGGTGCTTGCTCGCTAGCTTATTCGCAGCATGAACCTTTTCATCACACTCCCAACAGAGCGCGGCCTCGTCCGCACAACACAACACCTTGGCCTCGGCTGCCTCGCATACGTTGCACTGTATCTTCATTTCTGAGCCGTTCCTGCAAGAAAACGGTTGCTTTGAGGGTCAAACGGAGGGGGAAGATCGGAAGTCAGGAGGGTTTTTGAGGTTTAGTGTATTGTTGTGGGAGTGAGGAAAACAGGATATTTTGTGCGGCTGAGTGTAAAGGCGTGTTTGAATGGTAACGCACGCGTGTCGATTTATAGTTTGTGCTGTGAAACAGGAGACCGTCTGTGCGATGTCAAGCTGTAAGACTTGCGAAATATCGTCACCAGTCTCCACGGTATGTTTGAAACGCGTGTGTGCACGCTCCTTACGACATTTGTCACGTGCTTTGTTTATTATAATTTTCAAGATGTTTGTTAATGCATGGACACGCCTGAGGATTAGTGAAACAACAAAAGATTCACAGGTTTTAGAATTGAGCATTTATACCCTTGTAATTAACAAACACTTGAGAAAAAGTTATTCGGACACAAAATTTATGTACCCTTTTTTTATATTTTCTCCTATAAAAAAGCTAATATTTATCGTTTATCATATGATCAAACAATTAAATATATTAAATAATATAAAAATATTAAATTTTGATAATTCGATAACACATTTGAAAAATAAATAAATTTTTTTATTATATTGTATATTTTATTTTTATGATAGTTACTTTTCACAAACATTATTCAATTATAACGGTATAAGTGCTCCATTATGAAATTATAAGATGTAAGTATTGAATTCGCTCACTAAACTAAGGTGTCCCTTGAAAACCCTTTATTCTAATTAAAATCATATATATTTTGTTTACTTGATTTATTTTGTTTATTTTTTCTTATTTTTAATGAAGCTCCATTTGTAAGTAAAAATTAAGTATAACTAGAATAATTATGATGATAATTTCTTTAAAAAATTAAATCATACATAGTTTGTGAATAGTTAATTGCTTTACATTATTTTAAGCTAACATAGTGATTTAACTATACAATATGTCATGTCGGCAACGTCATTGACGTTCTCTTTGACATTAATTTTTACCTTATATATAAAGAAAAAAATCTTCTGTTCAAGTCCCTAATTTATCTAATTATTGGATTTGTAGTGTGTTAAGTAGGTTTTGGAAATTAAACCCCAATTATATATATATATAATAAATACTAAATAACCTAGCTGAATTTTCTATCAGATCAATTGTAACATGTGTCATTAATTAATTACATAAATATAATTTTAAGGTTTACATTTAATAATTAATTGGACAAATGGGAGAGGGCTGTTAACAAATTTTTTTAAAAAAAAAAAATATTTTCTTAGGTTCAATGACATCTTTATCCCCAATCTATCATAAAAGAACATTCCCCCTCCCTCATATTTTGAAAACACAGCTTGCAGTGTGTTCAATGGGTTATGAAGATTAAACCCCAATTATCCAAAAAAAAAATACTGAATAACCTAGCTGAATTTTCTATGAGATCAATTGTAATACATGTGTCATTAATTAATTACATAAATATAATTTTAAGGTTTACGTTTAATAATTAATTGGACAAAAGCAAGAGGGCTGTGTGGGGGTCAAAAATCACCTGGACCTCTTTCTTGCCCAAGCCTGCATCTCTTACCACAAAGGCCTAAGGACACAATCCAACTCTGGTTAGGCCAGCATCGAATTCCGTGACTTGGGGCCCAGATCTAGCATCCTTTCGGAATAGGCTTCGTCAACACCCCACCAAAGGCTAGGCCTTCGAAACAAGGTAAGTAGGACTCTTTATATTCAGTTCTATCTTGATCCATCCAAAATTTCGTATCTTTGATGAATTAGGACTCTTGTTGCTAATAAGGCAAGTGAATCAGGGTTTTCCTTATTCATTAGACCTCCTCCTATGTGGATTCAGAAGCCTACTGAGATATGAACATCCCATAACTTCTATATAAACAGGGTCACCCCGCTATTTAGGCATTCAACATTACACCTTCTAGCCCCTTAGTTCTCACTCTTGAGAGCTATATTTCATCTCCGTGGTCTTAGTTCCCTACTAAGATGTTGGTAACCATTTCTGTCCCTTAACCCTCACTAAAAAGCCTTCATTATCCTTACTAACTTGAGCGTCGGAGTGCCTACGGCAAACACCACCCTGGTGTTTTCCGTTCGCTTCACATTTGTTCCTTTGTGTGTGTGCAAGTGCAACATATTTTGACGTCTATAGTTTGGTGCCAACCGTGGGGCCTCTGGCAATCAACATTCCTTCGACATTCCGCTCCATAAGGGAATTAATCATGACTGAGACAACAAACAATGCTCCTACATATCTCTCAGCAAAAATCGAGGCTTTGATGACTATGATGCAACAAAATTTGGATAAGGTGGTAACACTGGAGGCTGAGAACTCAAACATCTGGGCTAAAAATAAAACCCTGCAAGAGCAGGTAAACCAATTTTATTCACTTGACTTCACTCATGACTAGATGCCCAGGAATCGCTTTCACATCCTGGTAAGCTCCATGCAAAACCTATCAACCCTTGACCCCGGAAGCTCAAATAGAGATCCGCAATCATCCCACATTTAGTCGTCCTTAATGGATGGCTCAACCTTAAACACAATTGATCTATCCTTACAGACACCTTTCCCAACTGATCCACCACTCACACTCAACCCCATTACTCAGACAATCCTAAACCAGCAATTGCAAACATCAGCCACTGTCAGTAATCCCACCTAATCTACCATGATCGATAACTCACACCTGCGAACCCCACTCGAGCGGGCAGCACCATGCCCAACAAACCCATCCTAGCGTAACTCATCCCCATTCTTTGAGTCATCCTACAAGTACACCCCAGATCATCCATGCCGGTCGAAACAACCACTCGGTCACACTGGGACTGACTCAACTCGAAGGGGCGACTGAGTACCCCAGCCCCCAGCCAAACTACTATGGAACACATCTCCAATCCACACACTATGACATGACTTGTCTGGGATGATCGAGTGGATCACAAGCACACAACCAGAGTGTTGACGCTCAACTCTTAGCCACGGGCACCCCTCTCGAGCAAATATTGGCGAAAATATTGGCGGATATGGAGGCCATGATGAGGCACATATCGGGAGTGCCCTCCCCTACCAAAAAGAGTCTGCCCTACAACTATGCAAATTTTCCCTTTGTGGATTCAATAGTCCTAGCCAAGATGCCACCCAAATTCACCATTCCCAACATAAAGTCATATGATGGCACGACCAATTCAGATGATCACATAGCCTCGTATAAGTAGTGGATGGTCGTCGCCTTCATGCCAAGGGATCTTAGGGAAGCCTGCATGTACAAGAGCTTCGGTTCTAGCCTATTGGGATCGACCTTACAGTGGTAAACTAACCTCCCCAACAACACCATAAGTTCCTTTGCCCAACTGGTTGACATCTTTGTCGAACAATTTTCCAGTAGTAAGAAGCTATCCGCAGATTTGTATTAGGTGTACCAAAGAAGGGTCGAACCATTGCGAGAATATGTTAACTGCTTCAATAAAGAGAAGATCTCAATCCCTTCTTGCAATCTTGAGACTACAGTAGAAGCATTCAGGAAAGGGCTCCTTCATGATGGAGAACTATACAAAGACCTCACCAAGCTCGATTGTAACACAATGGAAGATGCATTGGCCCAGGCTGTGATCCAGATCAGATGGGAAAAAGATGAAGTCAACCAGATGCGGCATAACTGCTATGATGAACATTGCCAGAGGTGTGATGATAGGCACCCAGAAGCTCACTCCTATGAGCCGCACTATCCCACTCAGTCATGTGGTTCTAACTCTCACAACAAGAAACTGTATGATAGGTGACTGGCTTGCCTGAATAAGCACCCATCTAGTTCCACCTTGTTCAAAGTCCTAGAGTACAATCTCAATGTTGAGCCTACCCAACTGGTAGCAATCATTAAAGGTATGAGGCCGACTGTCAAGTGGCCAGCAAAGTTAGACCCAGACATCAAGAGAGACACCTCCAAGTGATATGAGTTCCACAATGATCATGGACACAATATAGCTGATTGTATTGCCCTAAGACCGGAGGTCGCAACATTACTGAAGAGAGGGTAGCTAAGGGATTTATTGACTGACAAAGGGAAGCAAACCGTGAATCAAAGAAACAACAAAGAGCGGTCTCCCCCTCCCAAAGATCCAAAACCCAAGGGTTTCTACAACATCATACTCGGGGGTTAAGTAATTAGCGAGGTTAGTTATTATTCAGCAAAGAGACATGCCTGAGCCAGTCACCAAGAAGTTCGTTCAACTCATCCATCTGTCCAAACACCATTATAACAACTAATCCAGTTTGAAGATGATAACCCTGTCACCTTGACTACCATGCATCATGATGCCCTAGTAATCAACCTATAGATTGCTAATATCCTCAACAGGAGAATTTTTGTAGATGGAGGATCCTCAACCAACATACTCTTTCTTGAAGCAGTAAAATTAGATGAAGCTGACATAAGTAGGTGCCCAACCATCCTAGTCAGGTTTAGTTCAGAGTAGAAGTACACTATTGAAGAGATTGTTCTACCAGTCTATGCGTCCAGTGTGAATCGCTAGATTTTCTTCATAGTCTTTGATTGTCCCTCCCCCTACAATGTCATCATGGGTTGACCTTGGATCCACGACATGAGAGTTGTTCCATCAACATTCCACCAGATAATCAAGTTCCCTACCAAATAGGGAGTGAGTGAAATCAAGGGTGATAGCAAGGCTTATAGAGAGTACTACAAGAATGCCTTCAAAGGTAAGTCTCAAACTTTATAACAATTACAAATAGGTCCAACTTCCCGAGCTCAGCCGAGCCGAGCCGAGCCGAGCCGAGCCTGACGAACCATCAATGAAGGAGTTGGACAGACTATCTTGAGAGGAAGACTCAAATTGGGTCCCAACTAAGTCCCACCATTAGAGAACGACTGATCGAATTCCTACGATAGAACAACGATTGTTTCGTCTGGTCTCATTCATATATGACAGGGATCAATCTTGATGCAATCATTCACCAACTCCAGGTGGACCCCAACCATCCCCTGGTAAAACAGAGAGAAGGAAGTTTACCCCAGAGAAAAACCAAGTCATCAATGAGGAGGTTGAGAAACTATTGGCCAACGAGTTGGTACAAGAGGTGCATTATCTAGAGTGGC